CATGAAGCAGAGGAAGCCGTCGCTCTCGGGAGCAGCGGCCACAAGGATCAGCAGTTTATCTGAAATCAACAAATAAACTTTCACCTCAAAGATTTACAGTGGAGATGGGGACTTCAAACTGAACAGTGCTGGCGAGCAAGTAGCTTAATGACCTATGTAATGTTTATCAGACTAAATTGGGCGGCTGATCCCTCCGCCAGCCGACGAATTTCAGTTCCGCTGTTCGGCAAAGATGAGAAAGTCAGGAGGTTCAGCACAGTGGTATTACTGAAAAAACAAACTGAGGAATGGGGACGCATCAGAGCAGATCTGCAGTCTTGTTTTTTTATCCCTTTTTTAGTCCTGGGTAGATTTCTCCCGAAGAGGGAGTACAGAGTCGAAAATGTGACTGCAAGCTAATCCAACGAGTCAGTATTTATACAGAAAACATGGCTGAAATGTCCATGTGTGGCTGTCAGGCTGGATGGAGGTCAGATCGGGAGGTGGAGGGACGTTTATTTGAACGTCTGGCTTCGTTAGTCTCCCAGAATGTTGAACGATCCAACATACACATCCCTGCTGGCAGACGGGGGCCACGTCTGCCATCGTCTGATGCCACCAGCTTAACCTTAAAAGAAGGCTGCAACTCTAATTATTGCTTACATTAAAACCAATTTATTTCTAAGCAAAGCAGCATAACCACATCTAAAGCAGACAGCATAGATGTAGAGCAAACAGCTCAATTTCTTGCAATTTTCATGTCCCTTTAAGTGTAAGTGATATTTGATATTTTTGTCTCCGGGGCAGGGGTGGAGGGAACACATGAATTCAAAGTGTGGACTATGAATAATCTTTGAAGAGCTACCTGGACTCAGTCCTAACAGACTGCAGACACAATCATTACACACCCCTCACAACCCGGCCGGGTCTCTGCCTGTAATGTAACGCTGCTTATCTATTTCCTGAAGGAAACCAAGGCAGCCCAAAGAGGTTTTTTTTATGGATGGATGAGTGTCATGACCTGCTTCAAGCCATGAATACAGAACAGCCTTTGGAATGACTTCTTGGAAATAGATTTTTTTCCCCCTTTTTTCCCTGTGGTATTAAAACTTCTGTTATTGTTAAAACACACTGCTGCTGATGCTGACATGCTTAGAACCGTGAGTCTGCACTGTGGTTACAGGGGCGGTACTGCAGGGGCTGTACTGCAGGAGCGAAGTATGAAAGCAGCTGCATTTGCCCAGCTAATGTAAGCGTAGCACAGAGGGAGCAATCAGTCTGTGTGATTTCACTGCATAATTTGTAAGTCTAAGACCATCCATCCATCCATCCATTCATATTTAGTCTATCTGCTCATCCAGGGCACAGTCACAGCCTGGAGTATTTTCCCTCCAAAAAACACCCTTGAATTATGTAACTGATTTACAGTAACAGTTTGTTACACTTAGAGCCAGAATGTTTTTGTGCAAAAAGATTTTTTAACTTCCTGGGCAGGTCCTTCATTGAGGTCCCCTATTATGCTGTTGTTTAAGTAAGTGTTAATTAGTATTGGACGGAAAACCGCTTGTAATAATAGAATGTAATTTTAGTTACTGGAATCACAAATAATAGCGTCCATATGCTGTTAAATTAATGAGGCAATTTAATACGGATGAAACCAACAGGTGTCTCTAATCCAGCAGAAACGAAGGTGGGGGTGGGGCGTATTTTTTATATAAAAGCGCGGCACGAAATCGGTGCTGCTTGTTTGTTAGATTGTGGATAGGCAGAAATTGTATATTCTTATATATTCTTCTTGTGGTGGAAGAAATTTCTGTTTTCATTCCAGTCCTTGTTATTTTGGTTTAGCTGAAATAACAAAAGCGTTAGTGAATTTGTCAGTAGCGACATTATTCGAGTCTTTCTTGCAAGCGTGTAGCAGCCGTAGCAGATTTATGTGCTGGGTCGCATCAGAGGCTGCTTCCGTAGCTACCAAAGACGTACATAAAATTTTATCTAAACTAAGGGAGTATAAACTGATTGCATGTTGCATGTTGCTGCCTATTTGACGGCATCTACAGAGTAAAGCCTTTACGTCAAAGAAAACTATTAAGGTTATTTAGGCAGAGCGTAAAAATGTAAGGGGTTACTATAAATTATTTTTACTAGGCGCAACAACCTCTTGCAATATAAAATTTTAATTGGACTACTTTGTTTCTCCACTTGAGACTGAGAATGTATGTTTAAAACGAGACCGTAATTCACAGCTACATTTGCTAGTACTGTTTTCTTTTATCATTTCATACCAAATCAAATGTTGACTTTGCATAAGACTTGACACGTCTCTTAAACAGCACTGGGCCACCATTCCAGCCGTGTTTCCTTACAGCCATTTGCGTTACTGTTCCTCTGGCTGGGTTTTCTACGTCAGTACCGCAGGTAGAATAATCAGCTAGCATAAAATATATTAAACGGTAATGAAACATCTTGGCCCAAAATTGTCAGGAAGCTAATAGCATCCATTTATTGAAAAACAAAAACACAAATTGCTACAACTACAACAGGAAGGGCGTTTACAGGAAATTCAAATTATCCTTACCTGTCGGAACCGCTACTTCAGCATCACCGTCGGCGTTAACAGTACGCAGTAAGCCTATTTGTGTGCAAAAACAAATAAAATTTGACCCTTAAAAACCAAACCTAAAAAGTCCGTCACCAAGCTTATTTCTGGTAATAAAATTTCATAGGCATCTTAACTACTTTAACACAAGTTTTATTATTTTGTTTTATTCTATTGCATTCAAGACGTGAACCGTAAACACAAATATTGCGAGGAGGAAGAGAGACTGTCCGTAAATAAGCAGCCAAAGTCACGAGTTTTCTGGCGCACGGTAATAGCACGGAGGTTTACAGGCGTGGTTCCCCAATGACTACAGACTGTTTTGTTCTGTATTATAAGAAAATAAGAAACGTGTCCCAGAATCCCCAATAAGGACAGAATGGCGAATAATGTATAAAACATAATCCTAGTGAATGTGCTTGGTAATGTTTTGCATAAAAAACACATTTTATTTACCTTCCATTATTTTCTTCAGTCTGGAACCAGAAAACAATTAAGTGTATACTGCTGTATATGCACCTCTAAGATTAGACATAGTTTAAATGTGGCCCCCAATACTTAAAATGAACAAAAGATCTCATCAACCAAAAATTGAAGTACCTTTGGATTACACTGGAAAGGAACATGTTTATTAGACAATGAGAACAGTCACATGTTTTAGCTATGATGGGATGTTTGGGTTTGCTTTACATCCACATGTGTTAAGCTGTGCCCATTGTATATGTCCACACGGTTACAGATTTTAGTTGAATATGACCAGAAAGATCATGATTCTGGGCTTTTTCGGCTGAACCTCAAATGGGGGGGGGCAGGCGGACAGACCCTCCGACAGATTAGGTCTCTGTGCTAAACCTCTGATGTCTTATAATCCTAGAAACATTCCTCAATATGACCCTATAGAATTTTCTGGAAGTGCAACATATTGTAAATAGATGAGACACGAGTAACATGTAACTCACTCAGGAGCACAGAAGCAATCATGAACATCCTTTTTTTTGATGGTGGCATTTGTGGTGCATGAACAAGGCAAAATCAAAGCTGGAATTATTTATTTGTATTTTATGACCTTATCAACGGACCAATCAGGGTAAACGAAGTGGAAAAACATAATTCTGCAGCTGATCTTCACTTCATCATGAGTGTTGTTGGTCAGCGTAGAACAGAAGCTGAAGTCACTCCGTAATTTTACAAGACAATTGCTCAGAGGAACTTCAAAGATATATGACACATTCTATGTTGATATGAACGGGATCAGTCATGCACTGATCAGATAAAGCAGACTCATGCTGCATCACACATTTTCCCATTTTAATTCACATACATGTTCAAAACCGATTCATCGATTACGCAGCTGTTTATGATGAGATGGGAACACAGTCACAAAATGCAGAAGCGGAGAACCTGCTTCATGAAGGAACACCAGGACATGCAAGAACATCACTATTCAGTGGGCCTTTTGCTGCATAATTTGCATAGTGCTGAATGTCACATTTTCTTGTCAGCAAAACACCATCTTTCCCTCAGTAGATCAGCTGACATACTTGACAATGCAGAAATGGACAGAGAAAGAACAGGTCTGTCCAAACTTCCAAATTTCCATTTGTGTAAAGAACTGAAGGGATATACGTCAGACTGAGAGACATGGAACTATGAAAGCTAAATTGGGTATGGCTAAGATCATAATTAAGCCATTCTGCTTTGTATAGCCTATTATTACTACTATTATACCAAACAACTTATTAACACAAACGCCGGTAACAGTTTGCGTAAGGCCATGTTTTTAGTAACTTTGCATTAGAAATCTGGCTATAAATATTAATCAAAAGGCATAACGCATTACAGCCATGTGTATTTTGCATTATGAATGTTTTTTGCAACACTCCTTCATACCTTCATAATGCATTATAATGGTCCGTATAAGCATTAAGGATGCTTTGTACTGCATTATGAAAGTATCTATAGTGCATTATAGATGAGAGCTTCAGAAGGCCTTCATAATGCATAATAAACATGGCTATAATGTGCTATGACCTGACCCTGGATGTGTAATGAAGGAGTTTGCATGTTCTCCCCAATGTTAGCATAAGGGAAGCTCCCTTTGTAAGATGTATGGCTCCTCAGTGGTTCTGAGGAGCCACTAAACTTGTCACCGTGTGTCTCCCCCACTTCCCGCACCCACCTTGGTACTCGTAGGCTCCCGTTCGCCATGACCACGTCAGGATAAGTCCACTATCGGAAATAGATGGCTCTTGGGATATTTGGTAGCTGAGTTCAGCTTGTACTCTTATGAGCTATTTGGATGAATCGAGGTTACGTTCCGGTATTCACATCATGATGCTAAACCTGAACGCAACCTAGACAGCACACACATGCAACCTAGACAGCACACACACATTCCCAGAGCTAGAAAGCTGGCCTGGAATCAGTAGAGATTAAAGTTTAATATTAATGCATGACCATACAACGGGCTGGGTTTGCTCTGTAACAGGACATGAACTGGGACACAACAGTATATTTATTATAGTGCTGTGACTGTAGTGTTTCAGCTTATAATAAACTTACTTTGATTAATTTAAAATAGAAAATACCAAGGAAAAAATATTTCTGCTTAATATATCTGACAGTGTTTGAACAGAAGAAATATGTTAAATACATTATAGAAATATTTATGTAAATATTTTACAAATTAGAATGTTTATATAATATCATTCATCTCTGCTTTAGTGCAAGTGCTCAAGTCCGAATACTGCGGCAGTAACCAGAATTTTCCATATACCGTATTAATGTTTTTTTTTAGCTCTGAAGAGGGTATCTTGCGCCCTCTTGTGTCTAACCATCATATTCCACAGCAAATGTCTGCATCGCTTCAGTACAAAGGCAAAATAGGCGATTTCCTATTTTGCTAATCGTTCGACTCCCACAGTAATCCCTGGTATTCTGCACTTGCTCATTCCTTAACAGCATTAAAATAATGATCTTAGAGAATGTAAGTAATAACATTTTGGTGTAGAATTAGCTTGCTTCCAGGTATATTTTTGGTAAGTTTGTGGCTGCTCACAGATCAAAATAAAAACCTAGAACGAAAGGAAAAATGTAATGAAGCTAAAGGGAACATCACACGCACTATGATGGAATAAAAAGTGGATTTTACATCAGTGCTGTATGAAGATCAACTTACACTTTACGGAGTTATCCCGTCAGTTATGTTCAAAAAACATAAAATCCTGAAACATGAATAAAAGGTTAATGCATTCAGGAACAAAATTAACATAAATTTAAGATACTACTTATGTCATCCTTCCTAGAACTTATTTAATCACAAGTAGGGTTGCAAAGGGGTGGAAAACTTCCAGAAACTTTCCATTTCATGGGGAGTTAAGCTGGGGAAGTTTTGGAAATATTCCAGGTTGGAAACTTTCCATGGGAATGAACTGGAGTGTATGGGAATTAACGGGAAAATTTCAAGAATTTTGCAACCCTACTGAGAAGACACGCAAGCCTAAAGCTACTTTTTGATGATCTGCCGTACGTTTCTGTCTTCGGGATCAGAACTCCTAATTCACTGGTTGCAAGGCAGCACATCTCGAGCCGGTACGAGAAACGGTGTTTTCCGTCACGTGAGGGAGCACAACGAAGGCAATCAGCTGCTACTTACTATGAGGAAACAGGCCCCCAACAGGACAGCCTTCATTTTGACGTCCAGATCTAAGGGGAAGCTGATGCCGAAACTATTCGCATCTGTGTAAATTTCACGCAGGGCTCCCGTCCACTGCTTCGAGATCCTGCCCACCATCTCTGTCTCGTCCAAGGACATGACCTGCAGATGTCAAAGAATCACAGGCATAATAAAGAGGGCCCTTTGTCCCATCTGTTACACAAGGCCATGTCAAATACCAGCGTGAGCACAGCTGATACCTAGAAGTCAAAACAGTACTTTGTTTCATTCAAAGAAATTTGGACTGTCAGGCTAATCTCATCTAATAACTTCTTTCATCCACAATAACTTTTATTGCAAAATAAATACACAAGCAAGCCAATATATCCTCCTGAGATCCAAGAAGTCAATTTTGTCTTCTGTAGAGTAAATTATGTTTCTGTTCTTTTCTTTCATATACTCAATTATGTCTGTTTTGTTAATTAAGACAGTTGGGATATTAAGATGACATCATACATGTAGGGGTGTGGCCTGGCCAACTTCCTCTTCCTGTCAAGTCTTTAATAGTAAACTTTTTCTTCCCTCTATATCTCAGGGAGATATATATGGGGGAAAACACTTTGTTCACGAATAAATAGTTAACCTCAAAATTCACGTCGACGCAGCACTTGCAACTCCAGCACGGACCGACGATTTTCAGCACAGGGTCCTTCTCTTGGTTCAGGATGGTGAATTTGGGGAGGTACGGGTGCCAGTTCTGGACGACGTAGCCGATGGGGACCCCGGGTGGCGCCTGAACCTCCAGCTGGGGACGAGCCGGACGTATCACACATCTGAACATGTGGGTGTCTCCCAGAACATCGCTGCCCATCCGATTTTACCTTCTGCAGACAACAGGGGCAGCAGCAACTGCTGCACATGAGAGGCCGGGTGATGGTGAGGATCTGCTGGCCAAAGTTGTCCTGGACGTGCAGCACGAAGGATCTCATGGATCCACAGCAGGACCGGTTACAGCAGCTGTTCTCCTCTGCTGCGTAGAACACGTGCTGTCCCAGGCTATTCTTGATCTGATACTTGTTGTTGGTCTCCCAGCCAAGTATAACTGAAAAAGTGATCAAAGAACTTTGGAGGAACCTGCTTGAGAAGCTATAACTTCTAACTAATGCTAATATTGACTTCAGTAGCTGGCAATCCAGACTATCTCACTGAACACACTCATGATTGCCCGCTACTAAGTTGGTCATGTTCATTTTTTTTCTTAATTTTCTGCCCACCACTACCACCCCTCTTCGGAGGACAACTTTATAAAGGTTACAATGTAAAGATATATAATTCCAGTGTGGCCATTCCGAACTCACCCGCCCAGTACCGTGATTATACACAGGAGGACACAGAAACGACAATCAAAGCAATAACAGACATTAATCACCATGGAGAAGGAAAGAAGAAGAAATAGAAATAATAAGAATAATAATAAAGGTGGGATGGAGAAAGCAAAGTGTAGGGGAATGTAGAGAACAAACAAGCATAACACACATAACACTTATTAAAAGGACGTCAAACTAAAACACAGTAATGGCCGGCTAATGATGACAATAGAAAATTACAATAACAATAATATCAACAACCATAATAATAATAATAATGTTACAAATAGGTATTATATATATGTAGAATACACACGTGATCATACACATATACACATATATTTCAATTCCTATATCTATAAGTTACTTTAAAGTAATAATAATGATAATGATCGCTCAAGCTGCACTGATTTGTCATTGGATGTGCTGGTAGATGATGCCGTCGGGGGGCGTGACCGTGCCGGGCCCCTCCCCACTGGCCCTCGAAGCCCTGGTGTCGTGTGAAATGTGGTGTCGGGCCCAGGGGAGCAATAAGGGCGTGCCAGGAGTGCCCCCCCTCCCCGCGCAGGGATTAGTCCCCACACAGCCGGCAGGGGCAGCCAACCGGGGTGCTTGGGGGCGCCACAGGCAGCCCGGCAGCAGAGGACCCCCCCCAGGCACAGACCGGAAGAGTCCCACCCCACCACGCACGATGGGGCCCCAGCTAGCAGACAAGGACGGGACAACCCCAGACCCACCGGCAAATGGAGAGCCGGTCCGGCCAGGCGGGGTGACCCCACCCCCCGGCCCCCCCCGGCCACCCCAATTAATAATTGGAGTCCAACTATGTTCAAATTATGTCAATTGATTGTTCTTACAGGCAGGCATCCTCTCCATGGAAACAGTCTAAGAGTAGATTTTTGAACTGAGTTTTATGTTTAAACTTTCTTTTGACTTCCAGTTCAGAAGGATTGTTTTCTTGGCAACGGTTAGTACTGTGAGAAGCATGCAAGATTTATTCATGTCCATATTAGTGTCAGTGAGGTCCCCAAGCAGGCAGAGTGAGGGGGAGGGTGGGGTGGTATGCCCTAGGTGTGTCTAAGTAGAGGCACACGTTAGTCTTTAGTGTGAGACACACTTTAATCTTTAGCGTGAGACACACTAAACCTGCCAGTGAACCCGAGTCGTGGCACAGCTAGGATTTCTTTGTAATTGTTCATTGAGGGTCACGGGTTTTCGTTCCACAGCCAGCCGGTACCTTCAGTGAGGTCAACTTTCTGATGAATGAGCAGCTGGTCAATCTGTAAGGATACAGGTGTGACGTGGTTAGACATGGCAGCGGCTGGCCGAGGGCGGGGTCTGGAATGTGGGCGTGGCCATATTGCCGAGCTTCTACCAACGTAGCATCATCAAGTGCTTCATCTAGCCCTACAGAATGACTAAAGCTTGACAGAAACAGCCATAAATCTGAATGTTAAACAAACAATGCTGACCATTACAACACTGAATACTTTTAAAAATTGTATTTTTGCTTATTACTATTAATGATGAAGACTCCACCCACTGCATTTTCATTGGATGAAACATCACCATAGCAACGACAGCTTCTGCTATAGCAACAAGCAGTACAAGTCACACCTGGGTCAGGTACTCCAGTCCTGGGGGGCAGCCGGGGGGGCGCTGGGGAATAGGCATTGGCACTGGTGCAGATGGGGCCACATAGCCTTGGAAAAATTTGTGGGGGGAGGGGGGGGAAGAGAGTTAAGGATATAGGAATGGAATGGGTGTTCAAGGTCAACCCCAGGAGATCTGAAATTTACCTGGTGGCCCAGGAACCTTGGAGGCAACAGAATTCGGACGCACAGCATTTCTCTTGGGGTGCCTGTCGACAGTGTTAACTGCCAACAAGAGTTTAAAATTAAGACCATTACATGGAGTAAAGAAAAATGTACTTGTAGAATGAAAGACGAGCAAAAAAAAAACAACCTTCACAGCACCTTTCTGCTGGGGCACAGGTGTCAACTCATATTACACTATCTGAAACATTATCTACACTGCGGGAAGGCAACAGATGTAAGATGATCCTCAAGCAGTCAAGACGTATTGGCGTTATACTCAGCAGGGGATCTGGACGGCAGCTCCTCGTCTAGCAGACAGTGTCAGGCCGGTTTATGTCGAAACACAGCAGCACGAGCGTATTCATGCACCTGGAGTCGTAAACCCCCTTCATCCAAATGAAGGACGATTCAAAATCCAGCAGCTCTTAGCTTGTTGGCTCCCAGATTGTTTAGTTGCCCAGGTAACGCTTTTAAGTCAGGCAATAATGAAAAACCGAGAAATCCGATAAATAACATCCAGCTGTTACATACAACTCTGTTTCCAAAATCAGAATGCAATGATTTGCTAATCTTATAAACCAACAATCGATTGAAAATGGAACAAAGACGACACATCAAATCTTGAAACAGGAATGTTAGTTTTATGACAAATATATGAAATATACTCTTTATCTGAATTTGATACCAACAGCACCTTTCAAAAACGTTGGGACAGGGGCATGTTTGCCATGGTGCTGCATCACCTCAGCTTTTAACAACACGCTGTAAATGTTTGGGGACTGAGGAGAGCAGAGCTGGAGTTTTGAAAGTGAAACATTGTCCCATTCAGGCCTGATATAGGAGTTCAACTGCTCCTTTGTCGTATCTTTCATTTCATGATGGGTGACAGGTCTGGACTGCAGGCAGGCCGGTCGAGCAGCCGGACTCTTCCACTGCAGAGCCATGCTGTTGTCATGCGCAGAATGTGGCTTGACATTGTCTTGCTGAAATATACAAGGCCTTCTCTGAAAAAGACGTTGCTCCTGGCAACATATGTTGCTCCATTCAGCAATAATGGTGCCTTCTCAGAAGTGCAGGCTATCCAAGCCCTGGGCACTAACGCAGCCCCACACCATGACGGATGCTGGCTTTGGAACTGTCCGCTGATGACAAGCTGGATGGTTCCTCTGCTCTTTATCCCAGAGGACGTGGCGTCCATGATTTCCAAAAAGAATCTGAAATTTTGATTTATCAGATCAAAGGACGGTTTTCCATTTTGCCCCAGTCCATCTTAAATGAGCTCAGGCCCAGAGAAGTCAGCCGCGTTTCTGGATCATGTTTAGATCTGGTTTCTTCTCTGCAAGGCAGAGCTTCATCCTGCAATTGTGGATGCAGTGATGAATTGTGTTCATAGACACTAGTTATTGGAAGTGTTTCTGAGCCCACGCAGTGATTTCCACTATAGAAGCGTGTCTGCTTGTAATGCAGTGCCTCTTGAGAGCCTGAAGATCATGGCAATCCTATACTGGTTTTCGGCCTTGTCCCTTGCGTACAGATTTCTCCAGATTCTCAATCTCTTAATGATATTGTACCATAGATGATGGAATTCTCAAATACTTTGCAATATTACGTTGAGGAGTATTATTCTTAAATTGCTACACTATGTGACAATGCCTAGCTGTGAACCTCTGCCCATCTTCACTGCACAGAGCAGTGAACCTCTCCCCATCTTCACTGCACAGAGCAGTGAACCTCTCCCCATCTTCACTGCACA